TATTTGTCTATTTGTTGTTTTGAGATTAGTCACTATGAGAAATATTGGTCTGTTGTGTAAATTTTGCTGAAGCTGTAGTGATCGAGCTTGGATTGGAATCCCCGAAACATGGATCTTTGTTTGATCGAATTCTCGTTTAATGGTAATTTGGTTAACAAATGAATTAGGGTTTCAGAATACAATTATTTCATTACCCAATTTGTTTGAATTTATTGGGAACTCATAAATGTTTATTTTGGAAAATCAATAATAATAATAATAATAAAAACCAATTGGCAAGATCATCATCCTTTTATTCATTAGCCATCATCACACACACATAAATACATAGATATAGCTATTTTCTTACAAAGTTTACCAAGTTGCGACAACGAACAATCATTCCGCTTTTATCAATCATTCTGCAAAGAGATATATATATATATATATACACACACATGAAAACGATCATCAATTGTAAATATATATTACTCTCTCGATCGTCAAATTCTGTACTCGTTCTCTTTATATTTTACAAAGAGATTAGGCACAAAATTGAATAATAGAGATAATTATTTATATTATTAAATGGAAAAAAATAAAAATCTAACCTTAGAACTTTTAGAGTTAGGAGGAGTGCATCGACGAGCACATTCTTCAGCACATTGAGGAGTAATTGGGTGACATTCGCTGTTCTCGCATCGTATTATGCAATAAGGGTCTTTAACAATCTGAACGGATTCATCCGTACAATTAACTGTTAAGACAACCATGGAGACGACCAGAAGCACCATGAAAACTTGCACTTGTTTCTTCTCCATTTTTGTTACAAGATGTTAACATAAGTTGCATATGTATATTATATATATATATATATATATATATACTACCACAAATTAAACTTACTATCTAATATTAAAATTCAAAAACTGCATTAACAATACTAATTTTAATTGCAATATAAATATTTAATTTATTCACATTAATAAGATTTAAATATGGTTACTATAAGTAATTTAAATATTTCTGCCTTAAAGTAAATATATTTAAAAACAGACAATATTTGCTTGGTTATGGTAACAAATAAATTTCTACAAATTATAATCCATGTACAAATTAATTAGACGAATTTATGAGGAAATAAATCAATGCACATTCCATATACAAAAGTATTAATTGACATACTAAATATATATATATATATATATTACTATGTCATATAGATAATTTTTAATAAAAATATTACATCAAAATATAATTTAAATTTAAATCAAAATCAAACAATCTTGTAATATCCCCTCTTTTATTGTGTATATATCTATTTGTTTTTATAAGTAAATTAAAGAATAAGTATAACAAATAGTGTATGTACGAATACATTAACTATAATATCCTTTTAAAAAAAAAATAAAAATACAATATAGATTTTACAATGATATATTCATATATTTATAATTTTAAATGAAATATAAAAATATTTTATTATTTGTGTAGTAACTACACATACTAAATTATAAAATGTATATATTGATTTCCAATAAATTGTCAAGAAAGAAAAATGAGTTTTCTTTTTTTTTTTTTTAAATCGTAGTTTGAAATTAATTTGAAATAAAATTTAAATTTAAATTTTTATTTAAATAATATTTTGATACAATATTTTGACAAAAAACAAAAACTCTTTTCGTTCTAATTCAAAATACCCTTTTTACCATTTTCATTTGTAAAGTCAAAAGTATATATTTTTTATTTTAGAAAAAGTAATGATACACTAATTCTAAAATACATTTTAATTTTATTTAAATTACAGCATACAATGAATTGATAGATAAGATCAAATGGCAAAAATGTCCAGATTTCTTACACACATCTATTAATCAATAAAATATTATTATTTTTTAATCTACTACAAATTTTCAAATGAACCATTTCGATTGGGACGGAGAGAAAAAAAATATATTTTTATTAAAATCATACAGATTGAATAATAATTTCAATTGTAGTCTATCGATGATAAAATACAAAAATATAAAATAATTCAATAACTGATATTCTTTTATAGATTTTAAAAAGTTAAGAGTAAGTTAGAACAAACATAAATGCATATCAACAATAAATATTTAATACGATATTTTTATAAAAATCAAGTACATCAAATTTTTTTATTTAAAATTTTATATTATCAAATATATATTTATATTAAAAATTTTATTTGAATTTTTTTTTTTTTTATTTCAAACCTCATCTAAATTCATTTTTTTTAAAAAATAAAAAATAAAAATAGGATACATACAATAATTTTTACTCGTCAAATAATAAGAGAATTTTATTTTATTTTTTGTTTAAAAAAATAAAATTACTGGTCAAATCCCACCCCCTAAATCAACGAGAATTTCAATTTAGGAACCTGTTTACTAAGTTTAAATAAAATAGGAAATTGTACAGCCCGTGACAACCCGAGAATATGACCAAAAAAAAAAAAAAAAGAAAAAGGGCTTTCTAACTAAAATAAGTCACGAAATAGTAGCATAAGAGATGTTTTGTAAAATAAAATATTGTATTTTTATTAAAAATAATATGGATTAAATAATACTTATTTGAGTTAAAAAAAAAAAAAAAAAAACTCTGAAGTTGTGTTCTTTAGTGAGTTTTACCATATATTTAGATTTTTTTATTTATTTTCAAACAATATCAAATCAAATAATTATTTTTTATTTTCTATATTATACTGTAAAGCATCAATTTCTCTCTATTTATATCGTATCAAACAACTATTTAAATTTAATTTTTTATTATTAAAAATTCTAAATTCAAACATCCAAACCCACAAACAAACACAGTAAAGTTTTGACATAATTTTTAAGGAAATATTTTGATAATTTTTTATTTTTATTTTTATATATAATTATTTCACCTTTACGTTGTATTTAAAATAATTTTATAAATTATACTTTTAGAAAATGAAAAAATAAAAAATTGTACGTAAATAGAAAAAATTACAAAATGTCTTAAATTAGAAATAAAAATACGACAACTTGTCTACAAAAAAACGAATAACAATCACATGTTCTTTAAATTTCATATTGATTAACAAACAGGGTCATATTTCAGTGCAATTATTATTATTATTATTATTATTTATACTCTCTCTATTCAAAAGAAAAACAATTAGTACTTTATAATTCAATATATATATATATATAATAGTATTACTAAAAAAAATATATAGAGATAAATGAATATTTTTATATAACACAAGTTATTTTATGTAATAAATATTTTTGTTCTTTAATTTGTAAAAAGAAAATTATTACATTTTTCCGGCAATTAAAGTATGTCGATAATCTAGTCTGTATGTGTTTGTTTTAAAAATATTTTTAAAATTTCAAATGTATGTTTAAAAGTAATATACAAAATAAATATATTCAATTTGAATACTCTTATCTTTTTGACCGTAAGCTAAAATTATATATAATTTATTTATAATGAATAATTTTATTTACTTATAATTTTATTATTCATACCTAAACCAATAATAATTAATTTTTCAATACTTTTTCGATTCATTTTACTATTTTATTATTAATTTTTTTAATAAATTTCTTATAATATGTTTGCTTTATTTTTTACCTATCATATTTTTTAAAATAAAATACTATTATTTTTGGTCTCATATCGGAACATTGTAGCATAAATAGAAAAGACGAATGAGTATTATTTTATAAAAAATAAAATCATAAACTCTTTGAAATTATTTGCTACTATTTATCTTTTAAGACATCATAAAATATTTGTAACTATCCACTAACAAAAAGTAAAAGTGATAAAAATACTGTCAAATTTATATGATCTAAAAATTATGCTGAAATAAATACCAGAAAATAAATTGAAATCGAAAGAATTATAATATGAATAAATAAATAAATATTTGCATAGGCATAATATAAGGGTGTGTTTGTTTGGAAGTTTGGATTTTGAAGTGGGATTTGAATAGTAAAAATTTTGAATTTGAATAGTTGTATGATGTGATATAAACAGGTGTTGATGTGATGTTTTGAATGTAAAATTGATTTTCAGTATAATATAAAAAATAAAAAATAGGTGTTCGATTTAATATTTTTGGGGAGAAAAAAATGAGATGAACCGTAGAAATAAAATCCAATCCCCAAACAAACAAACCCTAAATTAATTTTATTAAAAATGTATTTATTTATTTAAAAACCATAAATAAAAATTCATAGATAGATCCTATTATAAATAAATAAGTAAAACATTGAAAGCTCTTGAATTCTTTTGGAGATTTGTTTTTTCTTCAGATTTTTATTATTCATAAAAAAAATTTTCCCAAAATATCAAATCAAATACTTCTTATCTATTTTTCTATTTTGATTCATCTCATAACAATAATCCATTTTTTCATGATCCATTTCATAACAAAATATTTATTTTACAAATACTTTTACAATTTACGATATATTACACAAAGTTATTCAGTTTATATTACACCGTACTAATAAGGTTATTTTACTTATATCTATTTTATTGATATTATATATCAATATAATAATAATATATCTTAAACTCTGTGTAAAAAATAAACGGATACTACTTGAGGAATGTAGGGAGTAACTTATTAATTATATTTTATATTATATTAAAAATTAATTTTACATTCAAATTATTGCACCAATACTATTTATATCACATAATATTATTCTAGTTCAAATTTTTTATTATTCAAATTCTAAATCCGCAAACAAACACACGTAAACCATCACGGATAACCCAAAACATAGCCTATAGTATATGTTTTATTCATAGTTCTGCAAAAACCTTACACTTCCAATTCCCACTCCCTCCCGTGACTGTCTGTCTGTCTGAACAAACAAAGAATCGTTTTTCCATCTATCTATCCACTTTTTAATTTTTTTCCTCTGATCACACACATATATGTATAGTGTATCTATATATATATATATATATATATAGGTGATCCAGAGACATGAGAGTAGGTCGATCTCGATTGTAAGTAAGTGTTGCTTTGAGATAGATTTCTATCTTATCTATGGGGAGATTAAGGTTTTTAGTATTATCAATATCATTATCATTAATGATTAATGCAGTGGTGGGTACTACTGATGAACAGTCATCGTCATCCTTCAAAGACTGCTACACAAAGTGTTTCATTTTCTGCATGATCGAGCCCTCTCAGACCCTCTGTTCTTGCACCACCCACTGCCTAAAAGATTGCATTTTTGGATCTGGATCTGGATCAGGATCAATCCCCAATTCTGATAATGATCATCAACACAACCTGCAGCTAGGCAAATTCTGCAAACTCGGCTGTGCCTTTTCCATCTGCTCTGCTTTCACCACCAAACACAACCCCGGTAAGCCTAACTCAATTCTTTTCTTGCTTTCATGTTCCAATCCATCTTCATTAACAATCTCTTTCTCTCTCTCTTCTGCTTAGACGGAGATCGAGTCGCTAGCTGCGTCGGATCATGCTCGAATAGGTGCGCAGCCGGTTATCACCCATCACTATCGGAGTTGCCGTAGAACAACTTAATTGTTTTAAATTCTAAGGATGTTCTTTGATCCGGAAGTTGTTCTACTATTTCACAACTACTTATTTTATTAGTATGGATTCAAACCCCCAATGCCTCCAGGTCACACAGCTCGAAGACTAACAATTGCGGATTACATCATAAAAACACACAAAAAAAAAAGTACAAACAGAACCAGACAGATATGTATTAATACTGTAATCCAAATAGTTAGAGATTTCAAGATGATTTCTAAACGTCTACAAAGCCATTTCAACAACTCAGAAACGATTCAGAAAGCATGGGAGGAGGCAGACATTCGATTTCAATAACGCCCAAAAAGTTTAAATTTTCCGAAAATTCAAGAGCAGAGATAGATACGTACCATATTTTAGTCGGCTTTCGGAGAATTTTCAGGAGTTGTCGCAGCTGGAGGAGGCATCTTCGACTTGTATTCATTAACGACACCTTTAAATTCTTCGACTACAAAAGCATCCTTGAACCTCAAGGCTACGGTCGAGAGGCCTTCCTTCCCTTCGGCTGCGCTGTTCATGCAGGCAAACGTGACACCTTTCTTGTCCATATTGGTCAGCTTCATGTCCGGGAAAAGGCTCGCGTTCAAGATTAGCCGATAATTGCCTCTAGCCCGCATAATAAGTCGAGCTTTTCCAGTCCCCGTCGTCGCGGCGTTCACCTTGACTTCTCCCTTCCCACGCTCTTTCCACGCCCCGTCGGCGTACTCGTACAGAACCGAGTCACCAGTGAAAACACTCTTCTCATTCTCTTCCCCAGTTTCGACAGTAACCTCCTGCATTGGAGGGATTTTACTGCCCTCATTTGTGCTCGCGTTCTTCGCGGATTTACCGAAAATTGAAGTGGTTCCGTTTGTGGATGGACCGAAGGATTTACCAAAGCCACCAGCTTTGAGGTCAGAGTTGAGACCGAAGAAGGGTACAGTTCCCGACTCTAGAGCATGCCCGTCTTTATTAGCTAATCCGAATGAGAAGGTGGAATTTGAAAATCCCGTTCCGGCTCCAAATGTGAAAGAAGTGGTTGAAAATCCTGTGCCGGTGAATCCCGAGAAAGCATTCTGGCTGTTAGATAGTTGCTGAAACAAACCGAATGAGACGGGCCCTTTATTGTTCTTTTCGTCAGTTGCCTCTACATTTTCTTTCTCATGATTGTTCCCCTCAGGTTCGACATCCTTCTTGCATTCAGTCTCGATTTTATCAGCAGCTGTAGTTTGATGAACCCCATCATTGAGATTCTCGCCTCCAGGCAACTCCGCGCTTTCCTTCCCTTTGTTACTTTCCTCGCCTTCAATACCTTTCTTGGCTTCAGTCTCAACGCCATCAACATTTTCTTTTTCCTTAACATTCTCCTCATCTTCGGTATCCTTGTCAAATTCGGTGTTACTGTTATCAGCAGCTGTAGTTATTTTGAGCTCATCTTTGTCACCATTAGTCTCATTTCCTGCGGCCTCAGGTTCACTCTTTCGGTCAACAATCTTGATTTCAGATTCCTTAGCCAATTCATCATTGCCACCAGATTTCTCATGCTGTGCAGCTGACTCGCCCTGTGGCTTATCAATCTGATTTTCAGGTTTGGCGCCATCAGTCTTCTCATTTTCATTACTCCTAATACTCACCACCTCTGATACGACCGGGGGAGCAGATGAAGCAGTAGGGACCAAGCAGATAGAAGCAAATGGATTAGAACCAGAGGAAGAAGCTGGAATTTTTGGAGTTGCTGCCGGTTGGCGACGAACTTTGACAATTCTTCGAGTAGCTAGAATCTCATCACTTGCTTTTTTAAAAGTCCCATCTATCATTTCAGATGAATCTTCATCGTCATCAAGACCAGGATTATCACGAGTTAGCTGTACTCCAGCAACCCTCTTTTTCGAAGGTTGAGAACTGTTTTCTGCATCTCCCATTGCAACTTTTTAAGTGATGGTAAAAGGACTCTAACTCTTCTTAATTAATTATCACCAGCCCAAAAACAGCCAGCTCTGCATAAAACCAGGACAAAATTCAGCATTATGAATGGCAATTATACTGAATCCGCGCAAATGCCTGAGATAGCACAATATGAATAACCCCAAACCCAAACTAATATAATGAGTAAACAAAGAGATAATTGTGTTTAAGGAAACACTAAACTTTATATAATAGTTTGTATCATAATGAAATTTTCCAAAATAAACAAAATAAAGAAATAAAGATACACTAAGTCTCTCTACGTTGTTCGTTTTTTCTAGATCCCAACAAAAAGTGGAGATGATAAAAGAATCATAAGGAGAAATTCTATCAAAATATAAACGGGTTTGAGAAGTTGATGTAAAACAGGAGGCATATACCCTGCCAATGCCCCTTAAACCTGCATATCATTTAACACAATTTTGCTCACGGCTAGGTATGGGTAAGATATTTGCTGTAGAACTTAGAGAAGCTGCAGTGCAAATGAACTTTTGGCAGAAGCAAAATGGAGAACATGCACATTAATAAGATGAAATATTTGCAAGCAGTGTGGTCTAACAAATAAGTAAAGATGTATAGCCCAAAATCCACATTCATAGACAAGTAGCAAAATCACATACAAAATTAAGCTAGTTTGTGTGTAACTTATGCAAATATATATATGCATATAGTTCTAGCATACTAAGCATATTTCAGAATATACCGAACATATTTGAAATGAGAATTCCGATAGTAAAACATAACAATAGCTGCCTTAAAGGCTAAGGCACTGACCAAACTAAATCCATCCTCAGCAATAACTCACCCAACACCTCAGCATTTAAACCATTCTTTTCTACACAATTTTCATTTCAATCTACGCCAAAAACCACGAAAATTAAACCTATTACATACCATATAAAAGGGATGAGACGAAAAAAGCCTTTATACTAAAAATCCAAATCCAGAAATAAACACCGAAAAAGGTAGAACAAGAATTCTACGTTCTGCCAATCCGTGTTGCAATTTCGAACTCAGGTATTTAAACTTGGCGATATAAAACGATACAACAGAAAACAAAAACAATCGCACAATCGAACCATATAGGTAACAAAAAAAATATGAAAAAAACACATAAAGAAGGAATTCTAAAGGAAAACCTGCGACTGCGAGCCTGAAGATTGAAAATCTGAGAGAGGGGTTTGTTGAATTTTGAATCTTAATCGGATCTGCTAAAACCCTAGCCAGCCAGCCAGCCCAGATTCTTCAACTAAAAGAAGGCCAAGCGTTAGGTTATATATATTAGCAGAATTAGACATGCCCAGCATCGGTTTCCAACCCGCTTCCGGTTTGAACCGCCATCAAACCGGAACCGGAACCGGCACCGCTTTTTATGGCTCGGTTTTGGTTCTAAACCGTGAACCGTCCGGTCACTAAATTAAAAGTTATTTTTATTATATAATAATTACTTTTTACTAAAATATTCTTAATTATTTATTAATTATATTATTTCTAAATTCTCATATCAGTAAAGTAGACACCCGAGACAGAGAATACTTTTTTAGTCTTTTTTTTTTATTAATATATTTTTAATTATTTACTATATGAGTAGTATTATAAATGGTACTTCCTCCGTTCTAAAAGTATAGTCTTATAAAAAATAAAGATAAATGACTTTTTTGCAAGTATATTAGTGTAAAAAGTAGTGGCAGTTGTGTAATAATAATGAAAAAGTATGAATAATATATGGTGACACAATTATTTATGAAAATGAAACTATTGTTTTGAGACGAACAAAAAATATAAACAATATCATTGCATCGGGACGGAGGAGAGAATATCAAATCTTTTATAAGTATTCATGCAAATTAAAAATATGTTTGTGGGGTTGATTTAAGAAATTCATTTTAGCCCATAAAAAATCAGGCCCAATATGTGGGCCTGAGCCTTGACCGAATCCAGATGAAGATTTATCCACAGGATTACATAGTCCATAATTTACATTTTAAAACAAATTAGCGAATTGATATTATATTATTAAAATTTAATTAAAGTATTCTATATATATATATATGTACGTATATACAGGGCCGGTCTTGACTTTCGAAAAATTGGGAGCGAAATAAAAATCAAGGTCCTTAAATATATATATACATAAATATTTTCTTACGTATAATAAAATATATATAACAAAAAAATATTTTTTCTAATATTTTTTATACAAAAAATATCAATAATAATAATAATAATAATAAGGCATAACTCAAATGTAGTTTCAAAATTTAGCATAAATTCCTCGTATACTTTAAAAATTGTGTGAAGCTCTTTATACTTTAACGAACCTTATATTTAACCTTTGCCGTGCAAAAGAAATAGAGATGAAAATTTATCTTGTCATCACCAAAAAAATATAAAAAGGTATTTTGTACAACGTTTTTTTAAAATATAAAATGGATATCATGTAATTTTTAAAATATATAGAATATTTACGTTAAGTTTGGAGGAGTTATTGGCAATTTTTCATAATAATATAATAATAATAATTTTGTCTAACTTCTTTTTTTTAATACAAAAAAAATATTAAAAACAAAAATAAAAAGCCTCTAAATATATATATATATAAATGATAATACTTTATTCTTTTACCTATAATAAAATATAAATAATTAAATAAAAAAACTTTCTAGCATTTTTAGATAAAATATCAATAATAGTATTAATATTAATTTTATCTAAACAATTTTTAAAAAAATAATAAAAATTAGAGGCCCTAAATATGTATAAATAATATTTGTTTTCTATCTATAATAAAGTATAAATAATTAAATAAAATAATATTTCTATTATTTTTATATGCAAAATATGAATAATACTATTAATATTAACTTCATAAAATTTTGTGTAATGCATAAAAGAATATTTTTAATTCTAAAATATAAAGTATATAGCACATAACCATCAAACCATATACATCTATTAATACATTAAAATCAAATAATATATATATAAATATAATAATATATCCCCTCCGTCCACAAACGTCCTACTTTTCTATTTGGAATGTTTAACAATTATTGTCACTCTTACTATTTTTATACACAAAAGTTACTCTTTTACATTTATTTTATTTACTTTTTTATTTTCTATACACAATATTAATGTCAAATTTATCATTTTATAACAAAAATTATAATTACCTAAAAATACATATAAATATAAATAGTATATTAAAAAATTAGACGGAAAAAGTATAACATAAATAAATAATAAACCTTTATTTAAATTGGGCTGAAGGACGCCTTCTCGCGAGGCCAAGCCTGATTCACTTGGGGTGTGTTTGTTTGAGGGATTTGTTTGGATTTCCACTATTCATCCTATTTTTTCCCTCAAAAATATCAAATCAAACACCTATTTTTTATTTTTTATATTATACTAAAAATTAATTTTACATTCAAAACATCACATCAATACCTATTTATATCACATCATACAACTATTCAAATTCAAAATTTTTACTATTCAAATCCCAACTGAAAATCCAAACCCTCAAACAAACACACCCTTAATATATTTATAGGATAAATTAATTTAGTGCATATATATACGTTATAATAATCTTTAGTTAGCCTAATCTACAATTTATAAAATTAAAATACAAACATCATAATAAATTAATAATATATATAATCAAAGGAAAAATAACATTGAAATTTTTGAGTGGAATTGGTATATTCTCTGGAATAAATTTGCACTAACAAAGTAATAATATTATTTTATATCCAAGAGAAAATTTTGAGTGCGAAAAATTATAGGTCGTTTTGAGTGGAATTGGGATTTCGTGAATTAAAATAATTATTTGATACAATATAAATTATATTAATATTAATATAATATTTATAAAATTAATTTTTAATATAATATAAAAATAAATATTTAATTTAGTATTTTTTTTAAAAGAAAAGAATATTAATAAATAGTGAAAATTTTAATTAAAAACGTAAAAAAAAAAAAGTTATAAGGGCTCTATTGATTTTTTATGTGCTATGAAAAATTTTGTTATAAATATAATATATATTATTTTAAATTGAATATTTGATTTTTCTATTTTTTTTTAATAAGTATTTGAATTTTTTATTTTTATTTTTATGTTTTGTAAAAAAATATATATTTTGTATTATTTATTATTATTATTTTTGAAAAAAAAATTAGAAAATATTGTTAAGAGAACTGATTATTTATTCATCTAACCTAAATATATTATACCATTTTTTATTTATATTACGAAAAACTATAATATATACATATATACTCTCATAATAATAATAACATATATTCTATCTATTTAATAAATTAGCAATTTAACACAATATCATTCTTTATATTATATATCTATATACACTATTTTTACTAATTTAATAATAAACTAAATTATCAAATCTATACATTATATTTAATAAATCTACACTATAATCATGGTATTATATAATTTTAGTCCATACATTTAATCTCATATTTCGATCTCTAAAATACATAATTTATCTTTTTATGGTACGACAATCAAATTCCAAACAATTGTTGCTAATGTTGTCATTATTTCTAGACCTCCTCGTAATCTTACATATTACATGTAGAATGAACCATCATCTTCAAAATTGAACATACATTATTTGAAATTTGGCTTAATGGTATTTTAAATAATTCAATAAAATTTATTCTTAATTAATTTCGTTTGACAATGCAGTGAATTTCAAATCTCTAAAAGTTTATTGTGTATTTGAAATCTATACATTTAATAAAAGTTAGAACCGAAAGAAACACCATGTCAATTTTTAATTAGAACTTTGATCTGTATTGTGAACGATCATCTTTTGATTACTACCGTAGAATCGCACGTATTTCTTGTGTATCATATTTTTCTCACAATCTCTTATGTCCAAAATAGTTTTTTTTTTTTTTTTTTTTTTTTTTTTTTCAATTTGGAAAGTAAACTCAAAGTTAGAAATCATAGATATGAAAAAAAAATAAAAAAATCTAGTAATATTTTTACAATATTCTTCCAATGTATCACGATTCAACTTCGAGTTTAAATGGAACATAAGTTTCATTATTGAGATAATATATGCTAAGATTCCATTTGCAAAAAGTAAATGGAATATCAAGTGTTAAAAGCAAAACAATATATGTCGTTTAAATTATTTTTTCCTCGTGCTAAATTGATAGAAGCTTCAAAGTTTTCAAAAAGACGGCAAAAAAATAAAAAATTAAAATTAAAATTAAAATAAATACAAAACATCAATATTAGGAAAGATTCTATTCAATTGAGTGTACAACGAAAAAATATTTGATTTTTTATGTTGAATTTAACTGGATAAACCTCATAAATTTACAAGTTATAAGAATCATTCAAGTGATATATATTTCTTTCTACTGCTATATGAAATATTACAATTTTAATTATATATGAACGAATTCTTTATCATGTGTGTGTGTGTTTTTTTTTTTTTTTAAATAAACAACAAATCTATTCAGTTCGTATTATTTTTAATAAAAATTTATTATTTTTTTATAAAATATCACATCAAAATACTATTTAAATAAATATTCAAATTAATATTCATTTCAAATTAATTTCAAACTAAAATCAAACAAAACCATTTGTAATTGTTAGAATGTGTTATACATTAGTTTTATAACTATTTTGATATTATTGCTTTAATAATAATAATAATCTTTTGCAAGAGAGTATTTGAGAGGCCAATACAATATTTATTACTCCCCCATTCAATTTCTATTGTCTTAAAGTATATTTGTACGGTTTTTTAGGTGATTATCCTTTTGATATAACTTGACAAATTTGTCCTTAATTGTATGGTAGAGATTAAAAATAATAAATAAATTAATGGTAAAAATTTAAAATTTGTGTTTAGAAGAAGAAATAGGACAATAATTGTTGAACGTCTAAAATAGGAAAGTAAGACATTAGTTTGTGGACAAGAGAATATTTTTATTTCTTATAATATAGTACCGAAATATAATGGGATGGAAGAATATATATATATATATATATTATGAAAAATGATAATTGAATTCTAAAAGCAAAACTAAATATACAAATTTCATTTTAGTTTTTTTTTTTGTTTTTTTTATGTGAGATATAATAATATTTTATATTAAATATTAATTTTTTTACAAATAATAATAATAAAAAAATATATAATTATATATTGCAAACAAATATTATATATATGGCCTACAATTTTTTCTTCTT